CAGCTTTGCGAAATGTTTTAAGTTTGTCACTGTTCACCCAGCCGCTCGAATCTTTTCAAACAATCTGCAGAACGAAACGTATTCAGCTTACCAGCAACTCATCAACTACTATACCCACCACCCATGTGGCAGATGGTAATGATCGGTGCGACGAAGATGGCTATGATCGTGAAGCGAGCTTGCGAAGTTGGCTTGACAATCGGTGCGCAACGGAGATCAGTCATGTTTGTTTGCAGTTCTTCTTTCATGACACGAATTCTTAACAGCTTTCTTCGTTTATTTCCACAATAAAATTTCAGTTACGTCTGGCCGTAGCTGCACAATATGTGGAGCAAATGCGTGCCAGAATCCGGGAATGCACTCAGTTACAGTGTTCAGGAGGAATCGGAAATAATAAGGTCAATCGTGATTTTTGAAATTTTTTGAGATCTGAATCTAGAATTCACTCTGTTTAGATGTTGCCAAACTGATTTGTGCACGACATAAGCCTCGACATCAAACTATCATTCCATCTGATCACGTGCCAGTCATCTTCAGCCAGACACCAGTTGGTGATTTACGAATGTTGGGAGGGAAGTTGGGTCATGCGAACAAAGATAACTGTCAGTAAAGGTGACCATCTTGTTGTTTCGTTAATCAATTTGGATTCTTCCTGCTTTTTCAGACAGTGGGAGATCTGGCTACGATACCTTTTGAACTCCTTGAGAAGCATTTTGAAAGGAAAGCAAAGTGGATCAGCCAGCTGGCAAAAGGGCATGATGATGAGCCTGTACGTCTTTGATGCTACAAGACTAGATTGAGCTGAAAATTGTCTTTACTCGAAACCAGGGAATAATCAGCTTTCCATTGGTGTTAGCAAGAATTTTTTGGGAAAGAATGCACTGACTACAGTTGCTGAAGTGCGCAGGTAAAAAATTTCAGCTTTCTCGCTTTTCTACTAATGTTGTTTAGGTAGATTCACTGCATATCTTTTCTTTCTTTTGCAATATTTTTCTGCTAATTTTTTTCTATATGCAAGTTTTAGGTGTATTGATGAGTTATGCAAAGAGTTATGTGAAAGGCTTATAGCTGACCAAGAAGTTCGACAATTGTTATTTTGAGAACTATCGGCTCATTATTCACCCAAAGAACTGCTGAAAACATAATCTTCAGCATAGTCAATGACTCACATGTACATGCTTCAAGAACATTTAAAATTACATCCTACCGTCCGCAGGCAGTTGCAGATGCTGTATGGGGTGCAGCCAAAACTTTCAATAGAGCTCATTTTGGAAGTGATCAGTGGTAAAACTAGACGGGTTGAAAGTATTTCTTTTGGTGTTCCACGAGTTTTTCAGGATTCATCCGGTATTCAACCTTTTAATGGATGCTTCTCGTTTTACTGAGGGTATAAGCGTTCAATCACAGAACATCATGGGATGGATAGAAAAACGCACACAATTGAAAGAGGCTGGGTAAGATGCACAATCTTCGACGGGGACA